GACTGAGAGTCCACTTTGTTAAACATTCTTTTAAAAATTAAAGTTTATTGATTTATTACACTTACACATTACGCTTTTATAATTATTAGTTGTAAAATGGTCACCAGGCAATTTTATTGCTTATCGCAATAATTTTTGAGACAATTAATCGCCCAGCAAAATTTGTTATCGTGACAGGCCTATGTGTATTTTTTCTTTGCCGACTTGTGAAAACCTGATTCAACACTTGCTGACTCACATTTGCGCAGCAGCTCCAGATGGCTCCACAGGATCTCTCCGTTGGGCACTTTCTGCAGAAACTCCTCTTGGCTGAAGCTGCAGAGGTCTCGGCCGGGGATGTGAATGCTGCCGATTTCCATCTCATCAATGTTGAACTCCTTCATGACCCACACAGCCCAGTGGATCACCTGATCAGCTGTCCAGAGCGTGGGGTCTGGACAAGAAAAGGAGGCGCTCCAGTGGCCTGTTTCCCCACATCATTAACATATAAACTGAAAGTATTCCTCACCGTATGGAATGCCAAGTCGGACCTGCTCTTTCCGGTAACCTTCCAGCGCCGCGGCCCAACGCGTGACCTGCTCTGAGGTCTCATCAGTCAGGGCGGACCGCTCTACAGTGATGAGCTGTCCCTCCTCCACCAAGGCACCCTCTTCTCCAGCAGCATCCGGATCGATCACTACTTCCACTGTTTCTACTGGCTTCACTATTTCCAGAATGTTCAGTTTCTCCTCTCCTGASCAAAAGAAAAAATAATAATAACAATTATCAGGAACTTGCACAGTTTTCAGTTTTTCAATTTTCAGACAGAAATCTAATGTGAAGTGTTTTGTACTTAAAGGTTAAACTGGTACCTGGTTTGGTTATAATATGCAGGCTGAGCTGGACTGTGCCATCTGTTTTTACTCCCTGATCAAAGAGGCTGTGATCCGGATGGAGCTAAACACCAAAAGATGACATACGGTCAATTCTTTAGCACAACAAAATACCAAATTTCAACAAATGTATACTCGCCAGTAGGGTTGGGCAAAATTGTATCATGTGCAATTAATCATCAGAAAATCTTCAATGGTTGTTAATTGGCACTTGGCAATTAATAGGACCAATGCTGCCAGGCAGACTGACAGCGCTTCTCGTTCCTCTTCTAATTCAAATAATATACTAGACATGGGTTTTTACGATGTAAAAACAAGTGTGCATTGCCA